TTAAGTAGCTCAAATAAAGCTCACATACACACAAAAAAGTAAATAAAATACAATCTACTATGTTACACATATATACACACAACAAAGAAGTAAAAATAATACACTCTTATGTTACACATGTATACACACAAAGAAGTAAAAACAAAACACTTTACTCAACTATAGTACACATATACATATACACACAAAGAAGTAAAATACACTCTACTGAAGTACACATATACACACAAAGAAGTAAAAATAAAACACTCTACTATAGTATACATATATATATACACACTAAGTAAATATAGTACATTCTACTATAGTACACATATTTATACAAACAAAGAAGTAAATATAATACACTATAATCTACTACGTTATACATATTTATACACACAAAGAAGTAAAAATAATACACTATACTATGGTACCTGAATCAATTATAAAAATACTTGATGAAACTGTGAAAATACAACATAACAATTAAAAAATAAAAAAATAAAAAAAAATAAAGAAACTTTATTTTTATTCTGTTACTTGAGAATTCAAATAATTTTATTGTTTTAGAAAATAATTTTTCAAATTTTTTATTATTTAATAAACATTTAGACACAGGAATAAAATCAAATAAATAAAATAATTTACAAAATTTATAAAATTATTCAGTAAATAAAATAATTTACAGAATAGTTCTCTCTCTCTCTCTCTCTCTCTCTCTCTCTCTCTCTATATATATATATATATATATATATATATATATATATATATATACATATATATATATATATATCAGCGACGTATCCAGGCCAATTTTGATACCGGTATACCGGTATGGGCCCCCAAATTTCAGCCCAAACTCAATTTAAAACAATTTTATATTAGCATTTGTTATGATCTCAGAAAAAGCAACTTTTGAAAAACGACTTTTAAAATACATTATAAATGTATTTTAAGCCAACCAGAATGCTTAATTCAAATTCACGTTGATGAAATGTAGAATATGTTGTAGTTGGATTAAATGTAAAACACACGTTTTGATTGGATTAAAATATGAAACACTTAGCATTTTTAAATAACATTTTTAAAATACATTAATTTGAGTTTCTCCTCTGCTTACGTTTTCATAACATAATTTTCGAAGCAATTAAACTACATGAGCTTTAAACTTTTTCATTTCAAATAACAGTAAAATTGTATTAAAATTACTTTAAATAATAAAACAAATAAAAGTTTTAAAACATAATAACATTTTAATATTCGCGCCAAAAAACTTGATTTGAAAAGTAAGAATAGAGCTAGAAAAAAAAGTTATTAATTTTTGAATGGAGTAATTAAAATTTCGAACAAATTTACCTTGTTATGCAATAAATACACTATGTAATAAATCTTATCAAGTCTATATCAAAGAGTCATACAAATTTTTTTTTTTTTTTTTTTTTTTTTTTTTTTATTTTAATTCACCTCCTCAAGGCCGAGAAGGCCACTACAGACGAGGAGGCTACTTATTTGTGGTTATAACCCTCTCTCAACTCTATAGCTCCGAAACACGAACCTTGACGAGCAAGGCCGCTGCGCGGAGAAACGAGTTGAGCACGGTACTACCAGGGACGTGGTGGGGATCGAACTCGGAACCACTCGTTTATGAAGCGAGCGCTCTACCACTACACCACTACCGCATATATTATATATTGTTATATATATTATTGTTTATTATTTATATTGTTTATTAAATATTGTTTATTGTTTATTATAATATACAATATTGTTTATTAAATGTTATAGTTATTGCTTGTTTATGAAATCATACTCTTTATATTTCTAGTTATCAATATTTAATATTTTGAATTGAATAATTTAATTTAATAATTTAATATTTAGTATTAATTATAATTTATAATTAGTAAGGTCCTCTAAGGTTAAAAAAAGGTCCTCTAAGGTAGACAGGATTTTTAGACCGTTAAGCCCAAAAAATTTCTGGGCATACCGGTCATAAATTCACTATATATATATATATATATATATATATATATATATATATATATATATATATATATATATATATATATATATATATATATATATATATATATATATATATGCTCACAAAGATTTTTTAATGATAAATGAAAGAAAATAATTTACAAAATAGATTTTGTAATCAAAATTTATTTTGTCAATTTCTAATCAAAAATTATTTGGTAAATAATTTGATTAATTAAAATGAAGAAGATTCACCCAAATGCAACATATTGATAGTCCATCCACTTTGCAGGAGCTAAAGTAATGTAAAATTGTGAGGCATTAGTATGATGTCCTTTGTTAGCCATGCCTAAAATACCTCTTTTTGTATGTAGAACTGAATAGTTTTCATCTAAAAGATAAAGAATGCAATTAACAAAAACAAAATAAAAATTCTTAATCATCATTTTATTATTTTTCTCTTAAAACCAAATTTTATCTTATTAAATTGTTTTTATTATAATTTTAGAAGATTTTAAAATTTCATTATAGAATTATAACAGTTTTTTTCAAAGAAAAAAAAAGGGTCCCTAATATTCAAGGAAAAAAAAATTATTCAAAGTAGGTCAACCTGGTACTCAAAAGAAGTGAAATTTTATAAAAATTTCAAAAATAATAATTTTTTGATAACACAAACATATTGAAAAAATATATATTATCCAAAAGCTTGTAAAAATGCACTTTTTTATTTTTAGTTAAAAAACCATAGTTCATATGTAATAAAATTCAAAATAAAAATTTTTACATAAATAAATATTATTTTTGAACTTTTTAGAAAATTTCGTTTCTTTTGAGTACCAGGTTTACCTAATTTTGTAGAACTTTTTTTTCAAAATTATTAGGGACAATGTAAATGTTCAATTGACTTAAGGCGCCTCTAAAAATATTTGTTATTCCAAAATTTTTTTAAATCCAGTGATAATTTATTGTATTGTGTATATTAAGAGCTATTACAAGACAGTTTTGAAAAATTTCTGTTTTTCAATGCACCCTAATAGACAATGAGAGACAACAATGAGCTAAGTAGTTATAAGAGGTGGAGATATCTTGATCGCTCACTGGAATAGTCAAACTATGGAAACATTTCAAAATATTATGATGTTAAAAAATATTTACCTTTATTTCTGAGATATTTAAGCAATAATGGAGAAAGATAGAAGTGAATTATAAAGTAAATACCATTTCCTAAATTTGGTAATGAAAAAGCTTTCATACCTTCAAATAATTCTCCATAAATTGACCATCCATTATTTCCTTTGCCTTCAATTATGTCTGAAAGTTTTTTTTTAATCATTAATATAAATATATGCATTTGTATAAATTATAAGTATTTAGAAATCTTTACCTCCTCCTTGTATCCAACCTTTTTTTACAACCCGATGAATTAAGCTTCCTTTATATGATAACTTTAATGGAGGATCATGTGTCTCCTTTTCTTCTAAAACACCAAAGCAAAGCTGTTTAAAATTTTGACATGTCTTTGGCAATAAGTCACTAAATAACTAAAAAAGAAAAAGAAAATAAAAACTTTAAAAAAAAACAAATCATCAAATTTTATTAAACTTTAATTAAAAAAATTACCTCAAAAGTAAGTCTTCCATACTTTTTTTCATCAATTTTAATGTCAAAATAAACAAAATCTGTCTAAAATATTTTTAATAAAAAAAAAAATGAAAATATTTTGTGTTATTGCCTTTCATAATTTTTAATGATGAAAAACAAGGAATAGTAAAACCATGGTTTTTAATTTTAAAGTTTTATTTGATTTTATTAATTTTATGTAAATGATAAAAAATGATAAATAAAAGTTTTCTGATGAATCTGATTGGATCCATAAAAAGATTGTTTTAACATTTCTAATAAAAATTAGTTGATTATTTATTTTACAGTAAATGCTTGCATAAAAAATGTTATATGGCTTTACATACAGAACATTTTTCTAAGGCTACATACTTTTATTATAAAATATTAGAGTTGAATGGACCTTATTTAAAAATGCTAATGAACTTACAAAAAATCTTGGAGTTGAATAAACCTTATTAAAAAATACTAAAATACTAATTTCCTTAAAAACCATGGTGAAAAAAAACATACCATTTAAAGAATGTTTCAAAGCATTCTTTAAATGGTACAACGTTTTTACTGCATTTTGTATTTAAATTTTTAAAATAGTTTTTGTAGAAAATTTTGCATATGTTTTATACATTTTTAAATTGTCTTTCTTACAATTTAAAAAGATGTAGCAAAGACCTAATTTTGCGGGCATAAAGTTTTTTTTTTCAAGAATCACACTAAGGATTTGTTAAGCTAAACCCATCTGATCTAAATGCATTAAAACGAAATATGGAAAAAGTTTTCTTAATTCAAAGAAAAAGTTAAATTAAAAAAATATATATATTTAAAACCTTTTTATTTCTTAGCAGTAATTTATATTCTTCTTTAGCCACAGCACAATGCAAAGAAAGAGGCCTACATATAAATTATACACATAAATTATAAATGCACATTTAAATTATAACTACACATAAATTATGATTCTATAGCTATTTGATACATGTAATTATGATTCTTTAGCTGTTCAATATTAGTAATCATGACTTATATTTTACTTGAAAAATACCGGAAATCTAAAAAAGCATGTTCTTTGTAAGCCCACTCAACAAAACTTTCTGTGTTTCCAATAATCTCTTTGTTAACAAAAATTAGACAATAGCCAGGAGTAACCGTTAGCTCAGCTTGATTCTATTCAGAAAGAAAAATAAAGTTTACATACTTAAACTATTATTACTTTCTTTTTTTTTTACTATTTTTATATTGTTTAATATCATTTTGTTAGACTAATTTTATAATATATAATAAAATAAATAAATACACATTATTTAATATTGAAAATTTAAAGACCAATTAAAATTTGAAAAAAAACAGACAATACTACAGTCTTCATATTAGCATTTATTATATATTCATATTAGATTATATTATAAAAAGCATTTGTATCGATTTATATTACTTTATTTAAACTATACTTTATACTTTTTTCTAGAACTTGCTCATTTTTTAGTTAATGTATATTCTTGCTAATCTTTGATTATCATCATTTATGAAAACAGGTAAAAATATCTAAAGAAAATGTACAGTGATGGATCCAGCATTTTTTGATGTTTGAGCTAACATCTAGACATGAAGAAAACTCAAAACATTTGTATGTTTATACTTATGTTAAACAATGATGCTTTGCAAAAAATTGCAATAATTGGAGGCTGGGAACAAAAAAGCCCTAAATTTCATCCCTCCCCCCCCCCCCCTTAAACTAAGAGCAACAATTAGTAAAATAACTTTTTTGTTATTCTCAACTAAATTTATATTCAACAATAAATTTTAAGCTTTACAGTTTAATCTCTCAGCGTTCAAAAATTATGACTAAATAAAATTTGTAACCCTCTCAAAAGGGTTTAAACTTAATTTTTGAATACTGATAGATAATACTATGAAACTCAAAATTTATCAATGAATATAAATTTAGTTAAAGAATAGAAAATTTTTTTTTCAATTTCAGGTCAGGTCAGGATATCCTGCTACTGGTAATATGTAACCCAGTACAACCTGCTTCATGCCCTGCTGTCTTGTAGGATACACTTTTTTAGGCAAAGGCTAGGAGAAGCCAATTCCAACTTAAAACATCCCCTGCTATGGGGCTCTTGGTTGAGTAAAGGCTAGAGTATAAGATAGTATCTCGATAAAAATACTTATCTTGGGCAGATGTTAAACGCAACCTGCCACTGTCTTGTAGAAGACCTCCTAGGCAAAGACTTAGGAGGTAAACAGATTCTATCTGTTGACCAGCCCGCACCTCTTCTTTATCTATTAGACTGGCGCAGATGTATTTACATTACATTGTTTTCAGTTTAGGATGTTGAATGCATGATCTTCTTGACTTGTGTCTCTGTTTTTATGACTAGGCAACTCATTCTTTTATCTCCTAATGAGGGTACAGCTCTAAAACTCAGTTTTATGGTTCTGAGGCCAGCTGGTAGTCAGGTTTCCTGAACTCTGTGGTAACTCTAAGAGAGGCTGATTCCATTAACAGATGTAAAATATCAGAGTACTAACAGTGCCATGTTGCGCATGGATGGTGTCCCTGTTTATACTTTTGGTATAAATTGTCGAAGCTAAATTTGGAGCCCTTTGTTACGCTTATTAAATGTAATAAAGCAATTGCTTAGACTATTAAATGAGTACTTACTATCTGTACTTTTAGTCAAGTTCTTTAACAATTTTAAAAATGACGAAAGTACGAATAAACACAAAAAACCATCATAATCACCAAGCTCCTTAAACCTACCATTCACTAATATTTGTAGCCTTTACAGTAATTTTTCTTCTGTTGAGTCTTATCTCTTGCAAAGTTCATCAGACCTACTTGCTCTTTGTGAGACTAATTTGAGTTCAGCTGTCTCACCTTGTGATCTTAGTGTAGATGGTTATCTTCCTTTAATTCGTAAAGACTCCAATAGTCACATGCTTGGCCTGGGCATTTACATTTGTAAGAATTCAACCATTTTTCAGAAAATTAGATTTGAGTCCAGCAACTATTTTTTTATGCCCTTTCGTTTAGCACCACTTCACTCTATCATCTTTCTCTTTGTTCCATATCACTCTCCTTCATCTTAAGACTGCACTCTTTTTGATGTTATTTCTGATCAAATTGACTGAGCCCTCTCTCTTTATCCATCAGCCAACATTTTTATTGTTCATCACACTGAATGGCTTGGCTCTAGTGTCAGTAACTCTGCAGGCATTAAGGCACACAACTTTTGCTTTTCTCAATCTTTAACTCAAATAGTCAACCTTCCAACTTGTTTTCCAGACAACCCGAATCATTTACCTTCTCTACTCGACTTATATCTTGTTTCTGATTTTAATCAGAGCTCAGTTTCTCCACATTCACCCTTAGGTGTTTCAGATCGTGGTTTGATCTCACTAAAATTATTATCTCATTCTTCATCATCAGAATCCCCCTATCATCGTACTTCTTACAACTATCTTAAAGCAGACTAGGACTCTTTCCGTGATTTTCTTCGTGATGGGCTTGGGTAGAAAACTTTCATCTTCCTGCTGACAATGTGCTTCTTACATAACTTCTTGGATTCAGGCTAGCATGGAATCTTTTATTCCCTCTTGATAATTCTAAGTCAAGCCTCACTCATCTCCATGGTTTTCTTCATATTGTGCTGCTACAATTTCCAATTGAAACCATTACTTCCATATCTATCAGCAAAACAATTCTCCAGAAAACAGACATCTTTACTATTGCTAGAAACCATTTAGAAAAGGTTTTGTCTAACGCCAAAGCCCACTATTCTTAGGCCATGAAATCTCATATTTTATCTCAAAAATTATGCTCTCGTGACTTCTGGAAAATCTTTAACAGTATCAAAATAAAGGCAAATCTGTTATCCCACCTTTTTTGTATGGTTCAGACTTTGTCACCTTACCTAAAGACAAAGCTGAATTGTTTGCTAAGAACTTTTTATCAATATCATCTCTCGATTCCACTAGTTGCTTTCTACCTGTATAACACTCTATATCAAGATATATCGTATCACTCCAGCTTCTGTATCTAAAGTGATTTCCTGCTTAGACTCTTCCACAGCTTGTGGTCCGGACAACATACCTGTTATAGTCTTGCAGAGGTGTTCTCCTGAGCTGTGGTCTATACTTTCAAAACTGTTTAACATGTGCTTATCAAGGTCTTGTTTTCCAGCCTGCTGGAAAGCGGCATCTGTTATCCCTATTTTCAAAAGGTCTGGAGAGCAATCTGACTCGCCTAACTGCCGTCCCATTAGTCTTCTTCCTATCATAAGCAAGGTTTTTGAATCTTAAATTAACAAACATTTAATCTCTCATCTTGAATCCAATAACTTACTTTCTGATCATCAATATGGATTTCGATCTTCTTGTTCTACAGCTGATTTGCTAACAGTAATAACTAAGAGGTTTTATCGTACATTAGATAGAGGTGGAGAAGTTAAAGCTATAGCTCTTAACATTTCTAAAGCTTTTGATAAAGTTTGGCATGCTGGTCTTCTCCACAAGCTTTCTACTCTTATTTATATTCTTCATTAACGATCTTCCAGATATTCTCACATCTAAGGTGGCATTGTTTGCTGATAACGCTATCATTTATTCTTGTCTTGATAAGAAGCCAACATTCTCTGATTGCTTTGAGGAGGCATTTGAGCTTGAAAAGGATCTCACTTCTGCTACAGCATGGGGCTTACAATGGCTATTGAACTTTAATTCAGATAAAACACAACTTTTAAAACTCAGCCAATCGTTATCACAATAATTTAGATCTTTCTTTATTTATGAACAGTAATGTACTCGATTAGTATTCTACCCTTCATTTTCTAGGATAAACTCTTACTTCTGATCTTTCTTGGAAACCATATATCGAATCCATTGCAAAATTAGCATCTGCTAAGGTTGTATCTCTTTATGGTGCTTGACACTTTCTCACTACGGATTCTATTCCTTATCTCTATTAATCTTGAATCTATCCTTGTATGAAATACTTTTGCCATATCTGGGGCAAATCTTCCAATCATGCCCTTTCTCTTTTAAACAAGGTGCAAAAACGCATTATAAACATAATTGAATCTGCTCTTGCAGCCAACCTCCAACCATTATTACATTGTTGCTTCTCTTTTTCTTTTCTACAAATACTATAATGGGCACTGTACAAAAAAGCTAGCGTCTCTTGTGCCATATACTAAAATTCATTCTGGTGTTACTTGTCATTCAATTAAGCCTCATCTTTTTACTGTGACTGTTCCTAAGTGCTTCAAAAACTCTTATTTATCTAGTTTTTTCCTCGAATATCAGTTTTTTGGAATTTGCTTCCTTCATCTTGTTTTCCTGATTCATATAACTTTCAATCTTTTAAGTCGCCTATCAATCGTTATCTTGCTCTATAAACTTCATCTTTTCTCTTCCGGTAACTTCCAACTCTAATAGTGGTTGCTTGCAGCAAAGATGTTAAAGAAAAAAAAACAAAAAAAAACTTGTTACTTTCACGTTTGGGGTGGGGGGTGCTGGGGATGAAATTTTAGAGCTTTTTTGTTCCCAGCCTTCAATCATCACAATTTTTTGTAAAGCATTATTATTTGACATAAGTATAAACATACAAATGTTTGGAGTTTGCTTCATTAATGGAAGTTAACTATCTCAAACACCAAAAAATGTTGGATCTGTCACTGAAAATGTTGTCAAAATTTTTCCTTTATATATTTTTTTATTACCTTGCTGGAATTTTGGCGCAAATAAAAACCTTGTTATTCTACTATTAATCTACTATTACTTGTTGTTCCGCTCTACCACAAATATTCAATTCATTCATTCAATCCTGCTCCATTACAGCCATTCAATTCATTCATTCCTGCTCCATCACAGCTATTTTTAAAATATAATTTTGTAGTTGATAAATTTTACTTATTTTTATAAATGATAATTTGATTTAAACTGACAATAAAAAATAAATTTCAACAAACATATTTTGAAAGTTACTGCTTCTTGCAATATGAAAACAACCATTTGAGTTGCATAAAACTAATGCCAACATGTTAACTGGACTGTTAAGAGATCATGTCCTGAAACAGAATGTGATCTCTTAACAGACCTGTTTTTCTTGAAAAACCCTAGTTTGAATTTTTCAAGAATTTAACTAAACCCACAGCCAAAACAGGTCTTTTAATCCAGATCCATTAACATTTTTTATCTGCAGTTAAGAAGTTTACCCACTTAAGTTACCCACTAGGTTTTTTAAATATGCTATTGTTGCATTTTAATTTTTATATTTTTTACATCCTAGCTTCTAATGTTTATAACTTGATACCTGGATCCTAATAATAATTATAATAATAATTTATAAATAACAAGTTAAATAGAAGATTATAATAGAATTTTTTTTCAGTTTTTTATAACTTAGTTCTGTCTTTTTCTGTTATTATGGATATTATTTATGCAGAGTAAAGATTAACATAATAATTTTATTTATTAACAAAATAATTTTAAATAAATAAGTATATCAGTAAAAAATATAATAGACTTGTTAGTGTACTAAAGGATTTGACAATAGCAAACTGTTTTTAATACAAATAAGACCGTTAAATAGACCTCATTATTATCAGACTTTTATAAAAAGCTGTTGACACATTTAAGCAAGTGCAAAAAGAGTGCAGTTTTCTATTAAAGATTGTACAAAAAAAAAGATTAGCTTGTAGCTTTCAAATATTGGTATTAACTTTTGAGTTTATTGATTAGAAATTATTGATACATCCAACCTATGTTGCATCTTGAAGTTCTATTTTAGTTCTAAAATAACTATTTCAAACTTCTGGAGTCGCCTTAAAAATTTTTTTTTCATGTTTCTTTTATTAGTAAAAAATTTTCATAAAAAAACATTTATTTTGCAGTCAAATCTTTAACAGTTTAATTTCTTATACTACATCTATTAGGGCAATTTACTATATATTTCTAGAAAGTGCTATGAACTATGATGTTTACATAAAGAGAAGCTATACAAGAACTATCTCTTAGTGTTTTTTTATTAATAAAATCCTGACCACTACCCCACCCCTTTTAGTCATTAGCTCTGCACATTACTTTTGGATACTAAATAAAGTGAATTTATCTCAGTAATTTTAATTAACAACAAAAATATAAGAACCTGCTTCAATTCTTGTATAAATTCTAACCATTCATTCTCCATCATTCCATGACAAAGCGGTTCAAAGAAAACCTCTTTATCTCTTAAAAACAATCCCTTATTTGAAACAAAAAAACAATAAATTAACTTTTTTTTAATTTTCTATTAAAACAGTATTGCAAAATCATAACTAAAATGTAAACCTACTTCTGCTAGGAATTTTGATTGAATATATTCAGCTTCTTTTAGAATCCCATACACTTTTATAGTTAGTTTGCTGGTTTCCATTTATAAACTACTACAAATACAAAAGCTAGACATATATATATATATATATATATATATATATATATATATATATATATATATATATATATATATATATATATATGCATACAGCCACGGACAAAATTAAGTAACATTGTTGATAAAATTGAAACTTGGACAATAAAAACAAAATTATTTACGTCAGGATCTAAATAAATGCAATAATTATGTTTTTTTTAATTTGATTTTTAAAATGATATATATATATATATATATATATATATATATATATATATATATATATATATATATATATACAGGGGGTATTCTAGGAAAAATATGGGTGGCAATACCCCTAAGTCTCGGAGAAATTTAGCGGAAATATTGCCGAATATTCGTGGAAAAACCAATATTTGCCATAAAAAATGTAAAAAAAAAAAAAAAGGTCCTTGGTTTTTAATTTGGGTGGCGCCCAAATACGGTCGACGCTGTCAAAAACGGTCTAGAAAAGCCCCTGATATATATATATATATATATATATATATATATATATATATATATATATATATATATATATATATATATATATATATATATAAAATAACATTAAAAGCTCATTTAGATAAGCAACTTGATGTCTGATTTTAGGAGCTGTGGTATTCATATTATAGTTTACAAAATATTGCTAACTAGATTTTCTATTCCAGGAACTGTTAAGTGTTTAACTCTAAAATATTTTTTGATAAACAGGGTGGCTACATAATTTTTTTTTTTTAAAAAGAGGATATTAGAGGACTTTAGAGGAGATTTTACATCTAATTTAGATGAGTTTTTTCGCATAACTACCAAATTTTGAAAAAAAATAGAGGATTTTAGAGGATTTTTTTTTTTACTATTATAGGTTTAAGGTCTGCATTTCCACACTTGTGTGGTTCTGACATGTTTCAATAATGCTTTTTTTTATGTTAAATGACATGAATTTGCTAAAGCAATTCTCTACAATCCAATGCCCTTATAGATGTTAACCAGATTTGCAGACCACGAGTGGGTGTTTTAAAATTATATTACCATCAAGAGAATATGAACTTTATTAAATGACTTAAAAAAAATCAACTTATAAATTTGCAATTAATGAATGCATTTTTTAAGTTCTACCAAATTTACTTTCTTGCATTTTAATTCACTAAGAATACTCTCTTTATCAAATGCAGCCCATTTCAAGGCATTACATTTGGATAAGATTGTAAAACTGTTCTTTTTTTCTGCCTCAAATGCAAAGTTATCAGCATCTTTATTAAGCTTAATAATACTTAAAAACACGGACTTATCACAAAGCACCACGAGAAAGCATTTAACAAGAAGTTCACGCCTCCTTCCATACCAATGTAGCTTGTTGGGCTGGAGCTGACGTCGAAAATTGGACCTCTGAATTTTGAACCAGATCTCTAACAGCTGCTTAAGCCATAAATAAAATGTAACTGCATTTTTTTTTTCCACATGTGAAACTTTCAGTAATTTTACTGTCTGGAAACATGGAACAGAACAGTTTACTTTTTGACTCTGAAGAATGGTACGAATATTTACATTTTAAAACTTCAAGTGATCAAATTACATCTGCATTTAATGTTTTTAATCTCTTGACGAGACATCATATCAATCTTGATGACATCCTATCAATCAATTTTGCTTTTGAGTTGTTTTCTGTTCAGGTGGATTAATTACTTCAAATAGCTTTTAAAAAAAAATTGTCTAATTGCTATTCGATGGACTTCTTGTCACATGTTTCTTCCCTTTAGCATGCTGTTTTATATTTTTTATTCTGCTGCTTGCAAAACTTTGAACAACTTTAGAGAATGCATTTGTTTTATCCTTTTTATCTCTTTGCAACCAGCATTTGAACTCATCTTCAATGAGCCACAAGTCTTGAAATTTACTTTTATATTTAGGCATTATTTCTACTTTTCTAAACGAAACAAATAAATTCTTTATGGTAGACAAACTACATTTAAACCAATTTCTACATTGAAAATTTGATTAACTCTATAATATTTTATAAATATAACTTAAGATTTCCAAAAATACATCTATTGTAATTAATATAAAAATCTGCTAAACAATAAAAACATTTTATACAATTAAAAAAAAATTTGCAGACCTGAAAAAAAAGAAGAGGATTTAAAGAGGAGATTAGATCACAATTTTAACTTTTTAGAGAATAATAGAGGATTTTAGAGGTTTTTGAGAAAAAGGGGACTTTAGAGGATTTTAGAGGAGCTGTGGCCACCCTGACAAAGGACCTGTTTAATGTTCAAGAGTCTTGATGTATTTGATGCAGAGTTATTAACAAGGCCGAAAGTAGCAAAGCATAGGCCACATGTTATGAGGCCAAGGCCAAGACCAAAAGTTACAAGGCCAAGGACCATTGTTTCAAGGTCAAGGCCAAGAATAAGAGTTTCAAGGCCAAGGCCTTCACAAATATTTTCATAACCAAAGACTTAAATTTCCTAACGTTAAGGTTAATTATTAACAAAACTCTAAGTGACAATTGCTGTGACTATTAACCGGATGTTGCAAAAATAAACAAGCTTATGTACAAAATTATACAAAATCAATAAGAAAGCATACTTGCAGATATATATGAAATCCGAAAAAAAAAAATACATAAAAATAAAGAATAAAAACTTTAAATTCTTTAATTTTATGTATTTTTTTTGAAGGCCAAGGCCAAAACAATCAAGGCCAAGGACAAAACTTTCAAAGCCAAGACCAAGGCTAAGGCCAACAGTTTCAAGGCCAAGGCCTTAATTTTTGGCCTTAAGGCAAGGCCAAAGACTAACAACTCTGATTTGATGTACCCCTAAATAGAAAAGCGACACTGGGTTTCAAAAATTAGTTGTAAAAATTATTTGAAAATGGGCTGTTAGCATTTTACATTAATTTTAATTAAAGATTGGTAATTGCTTTTAAAAAGATCAATTTTATTCCACAGCTAATTAAAAAAATGCTGTTTTTATTTGATTGAATTTTAGGTAAAGCTTAATATTTTAAACTGTAAAAAATTAATTTTCTGCTACACTAGTTAAATATTTAAATAAAAGCTTATTTGCCTTGACTCTTTGTTAAAGATCTTTTGAATAACACTTACATACTTGTAAAAATTAGTCAATTTCAAAGTAACCCAATAAAAGAAAGGCATATATACTCAAATAAATGCAAGTAGTAAAGTTCCTGCCAAATTCTACTGTTTCTCCGCATACAATACAAATTTTACGCATTTCACATATCTCTTAATAATCACATAATAAGCATGAGGTTTTATTTAAGGCTCTAAGAAACTTTCAACAAATTTTTCCTTAAACCAGTAAAGAGCACTATTATTAATATATATTTTATGTGAAATATCTTTGTATAACATTTGAAACAGTTGAATTTTACAGGAATTTCATCGAAGTTTTTTATCAAAATTGCATTACTTTTATAATTATTATTATTACTATTATTATTCTTACTATTAATATTATTGTTTGATTTGAATTCGACACTAAAACACCATTTAATTAAATTTATTTAAACTGCATTAATTAAATGAGTAGTGTTTCCATCTACATTTAAAACTTGCAATAACTTATAGAGTAAAGAGACGTTTTTGAATAAACAATTTCAAAAGTAAATTATTTAAACTTTTTTAATTATATTTTTTGTTTTGAAAAAAGTTAATCCATTCTAAGTTTGACCCAGGTTTGGCGAACATCATAACCTAATTGCTGGTATGGTATTCTTTAATGTCCATTAGAGCGCTATTGACGATTTTAAACAGAGAGAAACGGCTAATTGTACGGCTAATTGTCAGCAATTAGCCGTTTCTCTCTGTTTATAATCATCAAAAGCGCTCAAATAACTGTAATTGTCAGCGTTAGCTGACTAACAAAAAACAAAAAAAAAAAGAAAAAAAAAAAAAGAAAGTTACAGATTTTTACTTTAAAATCGGAGCCGTTAAAGCTTGAGACGTACGTACCTTCTAGATCAACATAAAAAGCAATTCTAACTTTAAATACAACAATTAAATGCAAATAGGTAGTTAAATATTGCAAAAGATTATGAGTGTTTATTATAGAAACCTTAATTTTTTATTACTTTTTTTAAACATTTCAGTTTACGTTTGTTAGTTCGTTTTTTGTTTTTTTTTTGAATAAGAATTAATTCAATTTATAAAGTAAGTAAATACGACTAACATTGAAAAACTAGGCATCTGAAAGAAGATCAGCAAGATCTTGTCGTTAGAACCTTATGCTAGTGTAAACAATATAATAGGTTTTAAATTACCAATAAGTGTAACACAATAAAGTAATATATACATAGCATATCACTTTTTAGCCTAATTCTAAAAAGATGTCAAGAAGTTCACACACCACCCCATTTTTTTTTCAAAAATGGGGTGGTGTGTGAATTATTGTGAATCAACGTGAATCATTACAAAATTGGTTTAAATATGTTCGACAAAAAGGCTCATATAGAAGGTTGGTTTTAATCATTTCCTCACCAAGCAGATTAGAATTACCTTATTTGATAGATAAGAACTACCTATTTGCAATTAATTTATACTTTTAAAGTGAAAATTGCTTTTAATGATATTTATGATGCAAATTTGTAAAGCTGTCTTGTACTTTGGACCAAGGATTTCATCAGATTTTTTTTAGTGTTTGTGATATATCTTAGGTACATTTATGGGTAAATCTGCATTGTAGCAGCCTAGTTTTTACGTTGTCGTAAAAATTAAAAAAGTAGGAAAAACCATGAAAACGTAGTTAAGGGAAAACGCAGTTAAAATGCGTAACACATTTTTTGACTGTTTTCGACCCCTTTAATTTGTCACAACATCGTAACTCTTTAGTAACAAGTCCTGTACGAGTTGTCACAAAATAACTAACTACTCTTTCCTCCTCCTAATTTATGAACAATCTTTAAGTCATTTTTAATTATTTTGTCAATGAAAGTTACTTTTTAACAGTAAAACGAAAATTTTCATAATTT